GGGAGGGGAGAAGAAGGAATTATATCTCAGGGTTCAATGCCTTCGGAGCTGTGATAATCAGCTGAGAGCTTGTACTCCTAAAATCTGGTGTGCATGCACTCCATTCAGACACTAGATGTTGGATATGAGACAAGGAATAATCCTGACATCTGGTTGTAGCATTTCCCAACAATATTGCCATTGCATGCTCTGTATTTGGGAGGCAAGGATCTTGGATTGTGGCACAGGAGTGGGGTGCAAAGCTCTGATTGTTTTGTACCATTTTCTTTTCCAAAGGCAGAAAAAGTGAAAAGCATGCCAATAGAGGAACGAAAAGCCAAAGCTGCAGCAGTCAGTACAAGCAGGCTGCTAACTCAGGAAGACTTCAAGAAAATACGTCTTGCCCAGCTTTCCAGAGAACTTAATTCTGCACCTGGCAGAGCTGCAAAGCGGAAATATATTGAAATAGATGATGAAGAGGAGGAGGGCAGGTAGGATATGGGCTGTTGAGTGCTTTTTCTTACTTATCCTCTCCTGATGCAGCTGTTCATTGCAGTAGGGCACAGAGCTCTGCTGCTGATCAGTGTTCCCTGGTAACAGCCAGAGCCTAGAGTGGATCCTGGGCTTGGAGGTTGGCTTATACCTGGGAAAAACATCATGAGGAGCTTGTGAAAGGTCTGAGACTGTTTGTTTGACTTGTTGAGGCCTAGAGGTGTGAGAGGGGGTGTTTTGTAGCAGTAGCTGCCTGGTTATAGCTCCAGTGTTTCTTAAACCTGGTGAAAAAAAGTAGGACTTGAAAAATAAGTGGGTGACTTTTGTAATGGATATCCCAAGCATGAGGGGCATCCTGAAGGGAACAAGCAGTCTTTGTGTCTAAATTGATGGTGAGAGACAAAGGGTGAAGGGGGCATCTTGTTTTCCTTGCCAACTGAAGCTTTGTGTGGTGACATTTATTGGATTTGTGTGTAGGGGGGAGTTGCTTTCGCTCAGAGATATTGAACATCTGCACAAGAAGCCCAAGTCAGACAAGGAGACCAGGTTGGCAACTGCAAAGGTGAGGTACTGGTGTGTCCTGTATCCTGTCCTTCTGGGTTTGGGTTTGTCTTCCGCAGGAGGAAATGCTGAGGCTGCATATCAAAGGTAGGTGCCAAGCTGCCATGTGGGTTTTGAGAGGTGATTTGTTTGGTTCTTCGCTGTTCCATCTTGGCTGTGACAAATAGGGTGTCCTGCTGGTCACATGTGACCATGAAAATGCAAACAGATGCAATTTTCACTGTGACTTAAGAAATACAGCCAGTATGGGAGAAGCCATGTATGAACACAGTCATGCCGAACCCAGATTTGTTGTTATTGCCCTAGAACCTGTTACCATCAGGCAGATGATGTTGATAGTAGGTGAAGGAAAATGACCCCTTGTTACTCTATTGCACTGTCTATTCTAGGCTGGAAAAACAGACAGAAAAGAATTTGTGAAAAAGAAAACCAAAATTAACCCATTTGCCAGCTCTTCCAATAAAGAAAAGCAGAAGAACAAGAACTTCATGATGATGAGGTACAGCCATAGTGTCCGGACCAAGAACAAGCGTTCCTTTAGGGAGAAACAGGTAATGTTTCATGCTGGAGATGGATGGGGCAGTGTGAGCAGTGATTTGTGGTACAGGTGTGGTGCTCCCTACTTTCTGGCCTGAGGTGCTGCTGCTGTAACTCAGAGAAAGCCTGTGGCTTGGCTTGCCCCACTCCTGCCCCAGAGGAAGAGCTGCTTTGCAGATTGTTGTTCACTCTCCATAGTCTGACCTATCACAGACTCATGTGTCCTGGCAGAGAGGTCATCTAATAGCTTGTCATAAATGTTCCTGAGGAATAGATGCAAAAGCTGTTCAGTTAAGCAGTAGTTTGACACTAATGCTGTTCTCAGTGGTCAAGCCCCTGCCAGTCTAGGGTTTTACAAGGTGTTACTTATTCAATTCATCCAAATGCGTTCAAGAAACCAAATGCATTCTACAATAATCCAATGATCCAGTTGTTTTTACTTCCCAGATGGTGTTTTGTGCAAGTGTTTACATGCTGCTTGAACTTAGAGTTGTTTCCAGGATCATACACTTTATCCAAATGATATTTGTCTGCAATTTCTTGCCTTAGGAAGGGCAAGGCAGGAACTATTAGTAGACTCAGTAGAGAATATCTGAAGCTTTTCTGTTGATCAGGAGCATGTAGTCTAGTACTAGTACATGTCCTCTGTACATGCTTATTTGGCATCATTCTGCCTCACCTCAGTTAAAGCTGACAACATTGAAACCAGCTCTCAAAACACACACAATAGGCTGCAAATGAACAATCCTGGCACTTTAAAAACCTGCTGTTTACAGTTATACTTGGCTCAGTTATTCTAAAAAAAGATCTTGAAGCATTTTGTCCTTACTGATGTTTTAAATTCAAATTTAATGCATAAACAGCATTTATTCATACTTTTTTCCCCATGAAAGTTAGGCTGCAGCACCAGTCTGTTAAGCCTGAGTGTTTTGAGTGGGTGGGAGGATCTTAGTTGTATGGCACTGCATTCTGCTTTGCTTTTTGGTGGTAAGATAAAATGGCCTGCTTGCTATAGTCCAGAGCAAGCTCCTCTACTAGGAGCTACTACTGCATCGCAGTACTACTGTGTTTTAAGTACTACATCACAGTACTACACGTTTTAAGCTATTACTTAAAACAAGTTTTATGTACAGTAAAATCTCTTTAGGGTGATAATGGCACTTGTAAAAATTTCTCCTTCCCCCTTGAAAATTAATTTTCTAATACTTCACAAAATACCAATTTTACTTGCTTCTCAGCTGAACTGTAACTTTCTAGATATCTTCTGTTTGAAGTGAGTCAGAGTAGTTTGTTCTAATCTTCATTGTGTGGGATTTGGTCATGCCTAACTCTTTAATTGTACTGTGGAGTTTAGGTACATAACCCCAGTGTTTCTGCCACTCTAATTGTTAGCATTTGCATTGCTCCCTGTCTGAGCTGATGAGCTCCTAGTGTTTTTATAAGAGGTTAAAGAAATTGAAAAGAGTTCTGATGTGGTAGTGTTGCTTTCTCAGTTATGCTCCTTACCTGAATATTCCCCTCTTGTTTTGTGGTTAGCTGGCTCTTAGAGATGCACTTCTGAAAAAGAGAAAACAGCTGCTAAAATAAATGCTGGAGAGAGCTTCACCACCCTTGGAGAAGTTGCCCGGAGATGCCGATTTGCACCTACCATCACCCTGGGGGAAAGGACTGTGGTGCCTTATGGATTTAGCTCTGATCTGTTTGGAAATGTAAATGGAACTCCTGCAAGCTGGTGGTTACTGCATCAATAGGACACAGGCCTTAAGCCTTGGAGGATTTTAATTTCATTTTAAAGTGTTCTTAGGGAAGAAGGCAATCATATTTTTATTTCATGTAATTTACTTACCGTGGGTTTTATATGTGTAAGTATTAAAGTAGACAATGGTAAAAGGTAAAAATTCTACCTGAGGCAATTATCGACTAAGACACAGAAAGAAGAAATATTCTGGTCAGTCTATAAAGCATGTGGGTATAGTGTCTGTGCCTGTCTTAGGGGAGTGCCCGTACAGATGGAGTGAGCTGTTGTCTGAGTAGCTGGCTTTGACCAATTGAATAATACCAAATTCAACTGTAATGCAGGTAAAATTAATTAAAGCGTTGTGGGGAAGAACAGTTCATTATGGCTTACTAAGAAAAGAAAAATACAAGTAGTGTATTGGGAGATAAGCGTTTTTTGTTGCTATTTAAATACAAATAAAAAATCACATACCAGAGAAAAAAGGAATGTTTTCCTATTGTGTGTGCCTTCTGGTGGGACTTGCCAGTGACTCTTGGCAAGCACATACAAAAATCACATCGGTCTGGATTCTTTGTCTAAGGTTGAACTTGTGCTTTAGCCTTGACCTCTGTTTACACCATTAATGGGTTCTTTGTACCTTCCCCAGCCACCTGTTCTAATGGAGTTGATCAAGTATTTATAACTTGAGGGAGTTATTTATACCATCCTTTTTCCAAGTCTGTTAGAGATGGATATCTTTGTAGTGCAGAAACAGGTGCCACAGGCACAGTACAATGGCAATGCATCTGGTAGGGTGCTTTTTTCCTGTCTTTTTAGGAAGCCAGATTCATGTTCTTATCCCATGTAGGAATTGACTTGACTTAACTTAGGTATTGGTTTAATATGTATTTGTAATAACTTTAATTCTTTTGTATGGGTTTTGTTTGTTTTGTCACACTGCTTCCTAGAGCAAAGAACCTTAGAGAGGCTTAAGGGAGAGAAGGACAGAGTAGGGTGGGGCTTTTTGGGTTTTCTTCTTTTACAGATCTGTTTTATTCCAATTGTATGTTCCTGCTGAGGGAAGGGCAGGGATTGGTACTCAGCAGGGAGTGCAGTGAGCTCTCAGGTGGAGGAGCCACCTATAGCTGGGAACCAGAGTGCTGTTGGGACGGAGTGTGGAGCAGGGGCTGGAGCCCAAAGGTAGGGGGAGGAGAAGGCAAGTACAATCTGCACACCACAGTTGTACTGCTAGGGGCGTTTTTTCTGCTGAGCAGTTTTTCTTGTGTATGTGTCCAGAAACTAATACCCTCTGACACTGAAAGAGAGTGGTCATTTTTTGCCCCCGCAGTAGAGGACCACAGTCTAGTCTCCTCTCTTCCTGTTTCTCTCTTGTTTACAGCTTTGCTGTGTCAGCCGGCATGCTGGCAGCTCTGCCAAGCGTGGGTTTGTCCCCTCTGCCCTGGGTGTGGAAACGACGGTGTTGGACCGGCTTTGATCAATGTTGCCTAGCAGCAGCAGCAGGGCCGGGTCGATGCACAGGTTACCCTGTACCACGCACCTGCTGCTCGGTCGCGTGTCTCACGGGACGAAGCGGGCTCGCAGGCTGCGGGCGGGTGGGCCGTGACGCTTCGGGGCGGGCAGGGCCGGGGCGGGCCCTGCGGCGCGGGGAAGGGTGGGCTGGCCCCGGGGCGCCGCTGCCGCTCGATCCTGCGCCATGGGCTGCGGGCCGTGGGCGCTGCTGGCGCTGCTGTGCGGGGCGGCGGGGGCAGCGGCCCCCCTGCGCTGCAACGTGAGCCTGGACAGCCCGGCCGAGCAGCGCTGGCTGCCCGTGCTGCGGCACTTCGAGCCCGCCTTCCTGCGCGCCGCCTTCCAGCGGATCATCGAGTACGTGTGGCCGGGCGGGCGGGGAAGGGGGACGAGCGGGGCAGCGCCGGGAGGGCTGGTGGAGCAGCGCAGGGGTGCCAGCTGTGAGCCGCTGGCCCGCTCTCGGCTGACCCCTCGGCTGTGCCTTGCAGCGAGAGCATACCCAAATGGGTTCACCAGGTCATCCAGCCCATAGCAGCCGAACTGGAGCTTTTCATGCCCCAGCCCTTCGCGGGAGAGATTGCGGGGATGTGCAAAGCACTGGGAATCAATCTCGGAGATGGAATCCTGCTGAACTTCGCCTACGAATCCACTGCGTAAGTGTTGAGTACTTACATGGTCTCGTACAGGTGAGCGGAGAGCTTCAGTTCAGCGTGGGGGAAGGCACGAGGTGGGTTACTTGCACTCTTGGTTCTGAGACCACTTCATCTGTTCAGCCAGAAGGTTTCCTTCTCTTTTGGCAGATGGAATGCTCAATGGAACGAGAAACGGTCATGTTTTCTATTGGGGAGTACAACTAATATCTGTCGTAGTTTTGTGTCTGTACATAAACATATGTACATATATATAAACGTATTAAAATGCAAAAATCATTTTTGCTGGTAAGGTATATCCATCCAAAAGTAGAGATCACTTATGTTTGAAGGAGATATAATGTTCTCTGTCACTTCTAAATGGCCAAAAAGGAGGCTAGAGTAATTAGGTGCTCTCTCATTAATCTGAGATAAAGTTACTACTAAACTACTTTCTGGATGAAAGTTCACCATGGCTGCATAATCTCACTTCCCGATTTGAACAGTGGAAAATGACTTTAGTATATTTATGGCAGCAAGCAAAATCTCAGTGAAAAAATACTGACTTTTTGTCTCTTTTTGCCCTAGAAACAGGGTGCAGAAGAATAATCAACACTTGGTGTTGCCTCTGGGGAGCCTAAAATATTTCTCCATATACATTTTAGCCAATATCAAGGCATATGGCTCCTTATTTGCATTTGGATAATTTTTTTCTTAATGTGTAGTACACAGTTGATAATTTTTTTTAGTAAGGACTAATATTGAATATGATATATTTAACTGCTGGCTCTTTTAGTTTTTCGCAGAGGATACTTGCCATACTTTGCCCTGGTGAGGCCCCTGAAATTCAGTTTCTTGGCTTGGATATTAGAAAACACCCATCAACTGGGAATAGCCTACTTATGTGAAAAATTGTTTACCTTTATTTTTGAGAGGCAGAGTTATGCATCACTGAAATGACCAACTCAAAACTACAGAGAATAGAAGTTAATTCCCTGCTAATGCAATATACTTGACCAAAAAAACCTGTTTTAATGAAACTGAACTTGCTACACAAGGAATTAGAGCATTCTTCTTGTTCTAGAGAGTAGTCTGTTATTGAAATGGCTGATACATGAATCAATTTTCTTCAGTTTTATTGCTGGGACTTAATTTGAATGTATCTACTCATGATTAAAATTATAGACAGTCCAAATGGAAGTGAAATTATCAGAATTAACTGCAGGTAGTGTGACACTTTATGGATGCTTTCAGATGTTAGCTTTTCATTATGGCTTACCGAAGTGAAATGAAATAATGGTTTTTCTCAAGTGGAAGTGCTGCGTTCTGCATGCCCTTTAATTTCTGACCTGCTGTGGAGTGGTATTGGACTCTTCTTTGTATGGTAACATGAATAAAACACTTAGCAGAGTATCAGCTCAGTTACTTCTGAGAGGTTGAGCTCCTGCAGCTAGGATATTGCAAGCAGTGCCAGAGCTGTGCCTTCAGTCATTCCTTGCCTTGTTCTGTTTGCAGGTTCTGTACCAGCATTGTGGCTCAGGATGACAAAGGCAACATTTACCACGGTCGAAACCTGGATTACGCTTTTGTCGATATATTGAGCAAGATCACACTGGATGTGCAGTTTATCAAGGGTGAGCAGGTATGGTCTCGGTTGGCATGGCTGGATGGTGTTCTGTGAAGAATGGGACAGCCCCATAGCTGCTTAGATGGGGGTTTAATGTAGGAATGGGGTTCTCATCCCAATTCTACTGAATTGTTAGAGCAGCACAGTTATGCTCCAGCAGTGTGGGATGAATGCTGATAGTCTTTCCTTTCTGGGAATCCAGTTTATGGTGATGGACTGGACAAAGCAGAACAGCTTAATCTGTTATTCAAGATATTATTTCCAAGAGATGCCGAAAGAAGGAAATGTCAAGATGCTAAAAAAGAAAAGAGGTATTAGGGAATATGGCAAAGAGATCAGTTTTGGTAGGAACCAATTCTAAGGTGCTTTTTTTCTTTAGACCTTGTGAATTTCTGTGACTAATAAGTGTGTCTTTAGACAAAGATTTCCAAAAAAGAACTAGCTGCTAGTGCAGTTTTGTGAGTCTGATTTTTTTTTTTCTTTTAATGCTCATTGGTCTGTTTGTTTAAACAGAAAAGTTATTGTTTGTTGCTTGGCCATTTAACCTGAGCAAAAGTCTTGTAGCTCTCAGTGATCACAACTGGAATGCTGTGAGTTTGAGGCCTCAGAGTCACTTTACAATTTACTTGGCATGTTTTCTTGTAACTGAAGGCACAGTGTGCTATAGTAACGTAGGTATGAAAGCTATAGAAAGAAGTACAAGCTGCAGGTTCTATCTGTGTGCTGTTCTGGAATGCTCAACTGCTCTCCTTCCTGGTTTCAGGTCGCATACCAAGGTACCACATTTCTTGGTTACGTCGGTTTATGGACTGGGCAAAGCCCACACAAGTTCACCATCTCTGGAGATGAACGAGGTAAAGGGAGTGTCTTCCAAAGTAGATGTTGTGTGTTTTGTTGATTGTCACCTGCCTTGGCCTTTTTCTCCCAAAGGGAGCAATGCAGTTAAGGTTGCCAAAAAGGACCTGAAGTGGAATGCCTTGCCTTGCCCTCAGGGAAGTGAAAGCACACATGCCTGGTTTCGGATACTGTGTAGGAGAAGGTATTTGTCAGCAGTGTCACCTGAGCTGAAAGTGTCAAAGGATGGGGAAGGCCTTGGCAATGCTGTAAAAGATGTGGTCTGGTCAAGAGCCACCATTAGAGGTGGCAGAAGTGAGGGCTGAGATAGCAAGACGCAGTTTGGACAGTGAAGAAACTGCTCCTTTGCTGGTTCTGCTGTATTCCATGGTTGCCTGGCCTCATAAGGCAGTTGGAAAGAGGGGGAAGATCTAGGGGAAAGGCAGCAGACCTTGAGGGAATGCCAGGAGACACCAGGAAGGCAGTTAAGCAAGGCCAGTAGTAGAGCAGAGTTGAGAGATGCCACTACTGAGAACTAAAGTTTGTAGCAGTGGGGAAGGCAGGGGGAAGGTCACTTCCTTGTTCATAAGGGCTTCAGTTTCACAAGTAATGACAGTTATGTCCAACTCAAAGCTTGGGAAATTGTCTCCATTTCTCTCCCCCTTATTCCTTTTAAGAAGCTGATACTGTGCTCTTCTTTATTAGGTGACTGTTAGAACTGGAAATGATGTATTCTCAGAACCATCATCTAAAGCGTTTATGTTTCCCTTGTGATGGTGATAAGCATTTTTTTATTTAAGTCTTGAACAATCTGTTCTTCAACTCCTTAGCTATGCAAACAATATTCACTCTGTTTTCCACCGGTACATTATCTCTGAGTAGGGATTGTGCTATGGAGCACTTGCACCTCTTGCTTCCTGTTTGCGTTGCTCATGCTGCCTTGTTGGATTCACTAAATTCTTTCCATAGTTTACATGCACACTGCTTCTGATTCCAGAGTAGTTAGTTAATGCTTTCAAAACTGGGGTGTCCTGGGCTGATAGTTACTGGGGCAAACTGCTTTTAGTTCAGCTTAAAGGCAAGTGTTACATGTTTATTGAGTCTCTTGAAAGGCCTGATTGAGGAAAGCTTGTGTACCAAAGTCCTGTGTCTCTCCACATCCTATGTTCACTCCACACATGCTGCAGTTCTGTCCATGGGCTGCTGCTGACTGCTTGCTGGCTTATCTGAAGTGAAAGATGTTTTCAGTTAATTCCAACTGAACTACGAATTGAGGGAAGTGAGCATGTGGCTCTTGGGGAAGCAGGATGACTAAATCAGGATCAGGGTCTATCAAGTGACAAGCAGACTGATTTTTTTTAATTTTTTTTTTTTTTTTTGTGCTTTGCGAAGTGTTTAAATAATGACAAACTTGGCCTTCTGGTTTTTGCACTTTGCTTATTATTCCCAGTAACACAAACACTATCACTACCTGTTTTTTAGCTGTTTTATTATTTCTGTGAAATTCTTCCTGTTCTAATATGTCAGGAAGGTGAGTAATGAGATGATTATTATCATTCCTGTCATGACAGGTCTGAGATGGTTTCTGCAAAGCTGCTGTGGCTGTCAGTTGGAATTATGTTGTCTATATATATTTCACCTGAAGGTTGTGCTCCTTGTTGGCACTTCTCCCGTAAAATGTTGGTACTTAGTGCTGATAGGCACCTACCCTGTCTCACTGTATATAAATTACATGTATAGTAATTTCTTTTCTTCCCAGATGGTGGTAGATGGTGGGAAAATGCTATAGCTGCTTTCCTCAATAGGAATTACCCGGTCAGCTGGCTTGTGAGAGATGTAAGTGCAGTGAGTTGATCTTACATTTCACAGCTGTGCCACATTTGTCCCTAAACATCTAGTAAATGAAAATCAGTGGCACAGAAGACTTAACAGCTTGATAAGCAAATGAATTTCTCAGGAGAAACTAAGTGCGTACCTGTATTTAGTAGTGAGGCAATTCCAGCCCTTTTGGAGGGCAGCCTCCAGTGCCAAAGGTCCTGGAGAAGCTGTGCCAAGGCTTCCTTCCTAGGGAGTGTTTCAACTAGCTGTAACTTGTGTCGTAACCAGTTAAGACAGCTGTACTCCTAGATGGTGAATACCTGTGCCGGGGGTTATCTTACACTATTAATGTTGTTATATTAATATTTTCAAGTAGCACTTAAGAGTCAATTAGCTGGACCTTCATCTTTTGAAGATGTCCCAGTGCTCGTTTTTGTGCTTAACCTCACTCATCTCCTTTTTGTGTTAGACCCTGAGCAAAGCAGAGGACTTCCAGGCTGCTGTTCTCAGACTGGCTGACATTCCCATCATTGCTGAGGTTTACTATATTGTGGGAGGTGTCTCACCCAAAGAAGGCATGGTCATAACGAGGAATAGAAGAGGGCCAGCAGATCTCTGGCCTCTCGATCCCTTAGGTGGAGCGTAAGTAGGAAAAAACTGCTTGGTTTTTGCTTCTCATGTTCCCTTCTGAGTGACTGGCTTAGTGGCACAACTTCCTGGAGAGAGCCGGGGCACCTCTTGGTCATGGTTACAGCAGGGGATTCGCTCCTGTGTTCCACAAGGCTGTTACAGCTACCAGCATGGGGCCCTTGGGCTTGCAGAAGTGGAGAGAGTTGCCTTTTGAGGGAGTTTTCTCCTTTTGGCAATATAAAGATACAGATTGTTGGACTTTAGCATTACCTACTGAGTCACCTTTTGTTTGCTTATGTGCTTGTTGCAGGTGGTTCCGTGTGGAGACAAACTACGATCACTGGACTACCCCTCCTCCTTTTGATGATCGCAGGTAAATTGATTGGAAGCTCTGTGGGGAGAGAACATGTGTTTTCAAAGTGGCTAGAAGTATAGGCAGCTGTTTTCTCCTGGAGCAGGCAGCTCATTCAGCTCCTGTAAAGCCACTCTGAAGGGAGTACATATGGTGTAGAGCAATACTCACAGATGAAAGGGTGTGAGACAGTGATCAGCGTAATGAGAAACTGTAAAGATAATGCTTAGGCCAAAAACTTGCTCAGAAAGCAAAATTTAGTAGGAGGTAAAGGACTTAGATCGACAGTGCCGAAGTACTGGATGGCACTAGGAAGGTGCTTATATGGGATTTTTAGGCTGTGTAGTGTGCAAAAAGGCATTGGCAGGTTGCTTCTTGATATGTACTCAATGGAATAGTAACAGGAACTTCAACACTGTGAGATGAGATCCAGTCACACAACTTGGGGTTATTTTAGACCAAAGCAGGCATTTCAGTGTTAAGGCCTTTAGTAAGAAGGTGTTTGTGTTGGTGCTTTGTAGCCTTTGGAACAGACAAGTGTGTTTAATTGATAATGTGTTGCTTTCCCACAGAACTGCTGCCATCAAAGCTCTCAATGCTACTGGACAGCACAACATCAACTTTGATACACTCTTTAAGGTAGTTCTCAAATTCTGCTTTGTGAGTTGCTCTTCAAGTTCTTTGACAAAGCAGAAGTGTTCTTTCATCAGGGATGTAAAAGCTCTGCATTATTGTGGGGAACAAGGTTTACTGCACAGCTCTCTCTAGGGGGGTTGAAGACTAAGAGTTGTTCCAAATGCTTCTGGACTCCTATTTAGGCATTTTGTAACAGCTGAAACCAATTCACATGGAAAGTGTGGGAGATTAATTGAATCCCATCGTCTTTGTGCAGTTTGTTATTTCAAGCACAGGCACTTCGTGTTAGACATGGTGACCTTTGGGAATTGCAGTGTCTTTCAGAGGGCATTTTTTGAAAGTACTTCAGTAAAATGGTCTGATATTTAAAAAAGGTGGGAAGTCCTTGACTTTATATTATTCCTTTCATAACTTCATCCTACTGCTGTTTCTAAATAGCCATTTACTTCCCTCTTTATCTCCCCAAATGACAACTCTTCCAACTTTCTGTACAGGTGTTGTCAGTGAAGCCAGTCTTAAACAAGTAAGTATTGGATTGAGAGATGTTGATTGGTGCCTCCTGCTGTGCCTCAGGCCACTTGAAAGCACACCACAAACTTCTTAAGGATCTTCCTTATGTGTTTGAGTCCTGTGGTTTCCCAGCTTAGATTTTGGCTTGTGCTCATGACCCTCTACTTCCACAACACAGTTGCTTTTAGGTCTTACCACTTCAGTTAGGGAACTGCACTTATTTGGGCTCAGTCTGGTAATGGGAAATTGCTTTGGAGTAGTGAAACAAATGACTCCTTTGGAGGAGCAGCTGGATGTCACATGGACTTCTTTGCCCATTTTTGGAAATTTGGGCTTTGTGTTAACACTGACAGTAGCTTTTTCTGCATGTTCTGATGAAGCTCTGATTAATTTGTAATAAAGGAAGTGGGATAAAGCTTTTAGATGCCGTTTACTGCATTTTCAAGAGATACATTTCAGTGCACCATTCTTCTGTGCTGTTCCAGAAATTGCACTTTTGCAAGTTATCATGTTATCAAGTTTTACTTTTACATGGAGCTCAATCATATTATCTGCATCAGTTGTTGTCATTGGAGCTTGGTAATGGCTTCCTCTACCTCTGCTCTGCCTTGTCAATGTGAGGTAATGGGGAAAGGAAAAGGTTCATCTCGGCTATTGTGACATAGATACAGTGTCTATTGTTTAATACTTGTTCCTCTCTTGTGCTGTGTGGGGGAAAGAATACTAAAGATTGATGCCAACAGTCTTTAATTTAATCAGTCTCTTTTCCTAAATCCTTCTGTACCTAAGCTGAATATTTGTTTCCATAAATACCTGTCCTGCTGCCTTGCTAGCAAGATGGATTCCCCCTCCTGCCTTTGGGATGTCACTCACTCTCTCTGTTGCTCTTTCCCTGCCAGTAACACAGTGTACACTACAGTCATGAGTGCTGCACTTCCAGATCGGTACCAGACATGGATGAGAGCTGGGGAGTGAAGAGATGGAAGTGGCAGAGGTGTAAGTGGCATCTGTACTTGCACAACCATTGCAGCTGCAGAGTCACTGAGGGACAAAGCATTGCACTGGCATGCTGACCCAGTCTGAATTCCTGATGCTGCTTGTTTACAGCCCTCGGATAAATATCTTCCCTTGTTGTTTTAGAGGGAGTTAAATATTGACTCTCCTAGTGAAACTCTTGGAGAATATATTAGGGTTTTGATCAGAGAGGAAGGGATAGAAGCTGCAACCTAAAGGTAGAGGTTGCCTCTGGGAATGTTTAGCCTATTTTTACCAGCCCCACTATGAAACTTGCTTGTCATCAGGTGGATGGTGACAGGAAGCCCTGCCAGAGGGAACTGAATCCCAGCAGGAGGGGATGGTGCACTTAGCACTAAGCAAAATTGAACTTGGTTGGTAATGGCTGCTCACCAGTGACTACATGTGAGCAGCATCCTTTGGGGGCTTTGTCCTGTGAATGTACAGAATAAGCTCAAGTTCTTGAGCTCACAAGGTGCCTCATGGGGACAGCTTCAGAGAGATACTATGAGAATTTCTATGCCAAGAAACTGGTTGCATGGCCTTGGCAAGAGCACAAGAAGCTGTATTCCAGTTTAAAGAGGTTTTAAAAAATACTATTGTTATTATATTTGCAGCAGTTCTGTCAGATCTGATTTTAGCAAGAATAATTCTTTCTAGCGATTGTGTAGAACTTGTTTTTCACTTAACTCTCGACAAACCTGTGCTCTCTTGCCTGTTTTTCTAGTTCAACCTACTGAGTGAGAAGCTGAAGCTGTGCAAGACTAACATATGCTTTTAAAATCACTCCTGGGAGCAGTACAGTGGCTTTGGTTCATTAATGATGTGCACCATTCAGGAAACAGTGATTTGTTAACTCTTCAAAGTGTTGCAGGTGATCCTGTTGATGACCTGTAATGGAAGTTTGAAATTACAAAATCAATTGTAATTTAATTGATGCTCTAGTAGATGTTGATGGGTAAAAATGGCTTGTACTATTTTTGGTATGAGTTGTGCAACTGTGATGTACTTCTGTGCTGACTAATAAACACATTTTGTAAATTACATAGCCTGAAAGTCTGAAGTAATTAAATAAAAATATTCAGCTCATAGCTTGATGTATGAAGCCTTGTGGGATTTTACTTCTAGGTCCTCATCCTTTTCCCTCATCTATGAGGAGCTGTTGATCCTGGGCCTAGCAGGGGCAGATGCAGCAGTCAGCAGCATACACAGCTGTAGACTACAGGTATTTTTTTTTAATCAGAAATCAGGAGCTATTTCAGGAACAGTGGTAATGCACTTTTCTCCTTGGTAGATGAGAGGAGGTTGTGTTGGGTAGCAGGGAGGTTAAAAACCAGTTAGATTTGTTTTTGTACATTCAGATAAAATTACCTGCTGTAATAGTTAACATTTTGTTTTACAGTGCAGAGCAGTGGGGCTTTTGTCAGGTTGTGCTGACTGTATATTGAGTTTAGACACTTAAGTGTGCTCCAGAGATACTGAGGGATTTGAAGAGTCAAGGTGAGTGGATACCTTCAAGTAAAGCTGGCAAGCGCCCTTCTTCACTGGATAAAATGTCACCTGTGTGAAGGTGACAGCACCACTTGCAGATCCATGCCATGCTGGCTGTGGTGGGTGTGCACTGGTTATGCAAACTGCTCTGAGAGCACCTTCTGGAGCTGAGGGCCCTTTATCTCCTTGTGCTGAGTCTCATAACCTACTTACCTGCATCCTCTCCCCTTGCATGGATAAAAGTGCTGCAAGCTGTGCCTTGACCCAGTTTAGACAGAGATGTACAGCAGCCAATGACAAAGCTGAAGAAGAGTTCCTGGAGCAGGATTTTAAAATGCTCACTATCTTTGAGATTCCAGAAAATGCCATTGCTTTAATTCACAGAGTAGGCACTGATTTGTGATCCCACCAGGTTTTCTTTTAAATAACAGCTGCCCACAGTTGCAGGATCCTTACAGGTGTGCTTTTGTGTAGTCATTCTGACCTCTGCAGCATTAGGCTGATGATCCTCTGGCAGGTGTGTGCCAAGATGCTCTGGTATATAAATTTGGCCCAATGTTTGTTTCAATGTGTACTAACAATCTAGAATGTCAAAGTTGTTAGTACCTAGGAGTATTCAAGAAGCAATTTGCTTCCACTGTTGTGTCTGGCTGAGCAGCTGTTTGGAGTTACGTGGTTTAAGCAAGCGAGGAATATAGTTTGTTTTCTTTTCCTTATAAATTACTTTCTTGAAAGCCTTGCATTATCTGTGGTAACCAACACTCCAAGAGGCTGACTGCCAACCAAATAAAGCTTTTCTGCCACCTTGAATGCTTTTCTGCTAACCCACAGGATATATAACTTCCTGGTTTTAGTTTAATGACAAGCTAAAAATATAAATACTGATCAACTGCTGAGTGATATATCTAAGCTGTAAGATATTTAACATGTGAGTAGCTAAGGTACTTGTGATAAGAATTGAAGTTTGATAAAAATGCAGAGATGCGATTGTTAATACTTTAAACAAAACCATCTTAATGCTGGAAACATTAAAATGTAACAGTGATTGGGGTTTTTTGGTAGGTTTGGATGTTTTGTGACAGTGTTTGACCAAGAAAGACTGGACCAAAACATTCTGGAAGTATTTGTGTTGCCTGGTATTCTATGATTTTGTGGACATTGCTTTTTCAAAAAAAAAAAAAAGGAGTGGATCATTTATAGGTATTTGAATAGGTTGCCGGTCATATATCTGTGTGAGATTTCATCTGCTCTGTGTGTACACTTTTTAAAGACTGGAAAGAACAGTGATTTTCCTGTTTTCTCAAGCCCTGGAATTGTGAAGTAATAAAACAAGATAAATTATCATTGCTTTTTTCTGCTCTGTAGATTCCCTAGCTACGAAGCACCAAATACTTGTTCAGCCCAACACAAATAAGGGGTGAAACTTGGAATCATTTTTCCTCCAGAAGCTTGCATTTAGCAGAGGGCAGCTTGCAAGTGTGTAAGAGCTGACTCTGAGGATGAGAGGCCAACACGCTGTATTTCTCATTCATAATCCCTTCAGTAATCCTAATCCAGTTGAGATCTGTAGCCTTTATTAAGTGTCACGTGGTAGAGGATTCTTAAGTCTGTTCAAAACTGGGCAGTAAATAACTCAAAGTGTCTGCACCAGCTCTGGGTTGCACGTGCACAGAGACATGGCTTGTTGTGCTGCCTGCCCAAGGGAACATCTTACTTTCCTATTTGGATTCTGAGGAGGAGATTTTGCATCTGTAACTAAAAAAATAGCATCAGAAATCAGCGATCATTTGGGTACTGAACACAACCAAAATTTATCAAGTGGAGAGCTTCAGTTGTGTTTGTCTCAACAAATCCATAAATTAGGACTTGGCAAGGTAAGTTGCATCTTTCTTTTTAATTCTTGGCAACAGGGTTTTGTGTTCAGAAGTAGCTTAAAGTTTAAGATAAAATATCCTTTTCATATGCCAAGGTGTATAAAGCTGCATTTGGGAGTTTGGTATCTGCAATTCCCCTTTCTGGCACTGCAGTAACTATGTGGTTGTGTGTTTGAAATAAAACACACTTCACCATCTTGCTTGCAGCTATGAGTGGTGCCAGGTCTGATGTGCACGTGGGCCATACAGAGGTATTTACTCTGAGGCAAGACAGGATCATCACTTTCCCTAGTGCTAGCTAGCATTGTTATCCTTGGGAGAAGTATTTGGTTTTTAAATAATCTGTAGCTCTTAAACTCTTACTGTTTTTCTTTTAGCAGAACTTAATTTTTTTTTCCCTCCAACATCTTTTTTAGCTTTTTCCCTAGTAAACTTTCTAGTCTGTTATGATCTCCCTGTTGCCTTCCATTTTCTGCCCACCTATTCCTTCCATTGCTGGAATGTCTATAAAACTGTCAGGTTAGTGGGCATCCTGTTCACGATGCATGAAATGTCACCTTCCCTAGGAGCAGGCTTCACATTAGCTGAGTTATTTCTGGCAGGTCTTGTGGTATGAGCACCACATTCTGCAAAGATATATGAGGTGCATAAGGTCCCAGTGTGTTGGATTTGGTTCCGAATGCTGTCCCTTGCTTTGGTTTTGGAGATGTTAAAATAATTAGGCTAAGCCAGGAAATGTACCTAGGCTTTTGTAGTTTGGGTTTTGGGGCGTTTGACTCAAGTGGATTTGTGCAAGGTTTCCTTGCCTGAATTTCATGGGGTACCAGATGGTGTTATTGAGCAAGTCCTCTGTTTGTGTTTGAAGAGTTGCAAGAACGGTATTACCCAGTGGCTCAGGAAGTGCATGGATTCTGGCTGCTATGTCTCTCTCCTGTCTGTCAAACATTACCTCCTGTGGTAGGGAATGTGTATCTTTTCTATGTGTGTACGGCCTTCTCCTGAGGGCCTGTACTTGGTGTTCCACTGGTTGTCTGTGTCCATGTGGGGCTCTCAAGTCCGTGCCTTTTTAGTGGTAGTTTAAGTGTCTGTGGTGGCTTTTGTCACCTGGTTTTAGAAGGTGGGTGTTCGCTGGCAGGTGCTCTGTGCCATGGCATGTGCCAGGGACAGCCCAGTGCGAAGGAGGTGTGAGGAAAACCTGTTACAGAGGCCTCCTGATTGCACCAGAGAGAAGGAAGTACTTCTGCAGGAGAGGAGTGGCAGGCAAGAGCAAGATGAGGAAGGAGTGCTTGGTAGCTGGCTGTTTCCTGGATGAACCATGTTTCTCACTTGGAAGTTGAGACAACCTGTACTTGAAGTGGTGCTGATGCTCAGTTCATCCAGTCTTTGAGTCTGTCCCTTGACTGGTCTCTGTTCCTCTTCCATTTCTTAGGTGCAGGAATTTAGGAAGGGAAGGGTACATGTCACTGTTGGGTGGATGAGGAAGGATCCAAGGTGCTGAGCAATTGGACTGGTTCTGTTTCTTCCTCAGTCCTTCCAGCCCTGGAACAGGTTTGATTCCATTGGAGCCTGATTTATTCCTGTGCACTCCTTTGCTCAGGTTGTGGCCCTAACAAAAATCTGAGGGCAACACATGAAGTTCATGGCTCCAGCAACTGCTTGGGAGGGACCTGTTGATAAGCCTTTTTATGATATGATAATTAGGGGACACTAACACTAGGCTCTTCCTTGCTATGGATGGCAAAAATGTGTTTAAAGTAGGGCTACCCAAATAATAAATGCCTGTTTGTTTTGCAGGGAGAGAAGGAAATAAGAGAAAAATTGTTGCCAAAGGTGACTTCAAATCCGTGGTTGCGTTTTATCAAAGCAGGCAGGTGGTATCCCAAACACATCCTCAGCAGGCAAAGTACTGAACACCATACTTGAGTGCTTGCTTCAAGTTTGTTCTCCATTGTTTTAAAAGTTACCTAGAAGTGTTCTAATTCTTGGGCAAGGGGCCAATGCAGAATTAATAATTTTTACCATTGCTTCTCTGGAAACCTAAAACTTGTCGAAATCTTCAGATCTGCGTTATTAAGTGAAATTTTTGTTTGTATAGGCCAGATGGGCCTATGTTCAGAAGTTCTGGACTTCTTCCTGAACTCTGATTTTCCTGGTACTGGAGGTTACAAACAAGAGCTATAACTGGTGAGTTTTGTGTGCAGTTGTCCCTTGGAGTAGTTAATAATCTGGAAAGCTGTCAGAGTATCTGCATTGTTTGAGCACAAAGAAGGTAAGGAGCTAGGTAAAACTGGGTGTCATTTGGCAGTGATTTCAGGCCATCTGTGCCATTGATATAAAATGACACTGTTAGAATAAAACAAGAATGTAGGTATTTTGCTGAGAACATTGTGATGTACCCTGTTGCGTCACCTGCTTATGGCATTGTGAGGATGCCATTGTACAGCTGAGCATCCTGGGGAAGGGAGAGAGAGTTGCAGCTTTTGCTGTGCTTTAGAATCTCCTGGTGCTGTGGTGTGGCTGAGCAGGGCTCACCTTCCTGAGCCAACGTGGATCACTCACCTTACACAACACCGGACACGCTCCTTCAATTAGTGTTTGTGCGGATCTGAGCTATTTTGAGAGGAAAGACGTGGGTGAGGTGGAAAGAGATTGAAGGAGGCAAAAGGATTGCAGTGAGGAAATGAGGAGGACTTTTCCTTCTCCTGGGCAGAGGTGCCTCTGTAGTGACTCTGTCCTGACCCTTCAAAATGCTTTGAGCTATGTTCTCCTGCCAACACCAGCCTTAACATTTCTACAAGTGTTTATTTCTTTCTCTCCATTTCTCAGCTTTGTCTTCCCTGAATGTCAGGGGAAAATAAAAATCTGTTGAATTCTTCAGTGATACAGCCTGGGGCTGCTTTGGCAGTGACTGTTTATTTTCCAGAGGGAAAATGTCTGTGAATGACATTCTGGTTACCCTCAAAGTGAGAGACTTCAGAGTTTGACCTAGTCTTCCATTAGGATCTGTTTACCCTGACCAGCACTTCCGCAGTAGTGAACTTACTAAAGTCTGGATGTCTGTCGTTTTATACTGGCAATTGATGGCATAATACACTCCCACACTCAAGCAGATGCATGAGAATGAAGGCAAGCAGTGTTTAACAAAGCTGGCTATTTTCTTCTGATAACTAATTGCTATTTTAGACTTAGCTTCCTGCTAGCTAGAATAAATATCAGGTTTGTGTTCACCCCTCATAATGAGCTATCCTTTGCAGGGCACTATATGAATATTTGTCTGCACTACAGAATGTTTGTCTCCACATACTACTTCTTAATGACTTTTTAGTAGTTCTTGATCATTATTGAAAAGCTTTTTATATGTTTGCCAAACAATCACAAGATCTATTTTTATGCAGGTAGCTAAAGTTGCTGAACTGATTCCTGTTTATAAAGCTCACTTGCAATGTGAAGCAGTGAGACAGAAATCTTCATCTGAATGTCTGGGAGTAGCTGCAGAAACCTGGTAGAGTAAAATGTACTTGGGCATAAGAGAGGCCCTCTGATCATTGATATTAAGTGTTAATATATTTAATTGTAGATTCTTGGCACTGGAGACATGTTGCAGCTGTTTTGATTCTGACCAAATGGTCTTCCCTGCATCTCTTTTGTGGTTTTGGTGACACTGGGCCATTCTGCAACGTTGGACCATCGGTTGGACAACATGGGATCTGGTAGTTCTGTAAATGTTCAGTACAAGTACTCCCTGCAGAAGTCTGAAAATGGTGAGTGATTCTTAGAAAAGTGATCTTATCCTGTTTTCTCCTGCATGTGCTTTTGGGAGGTTGCATTGAATGCATTTCTCCTCTGTGTGTTCGTCATAGCATTGAAGTGAGGCTCTGTCTTTGAGTATCCTGTGACAAGGATTCTTAGGTGTCAGGCAGAAGACAACAGGCTTGAGGAAATAACGGCTATTTAGACAAGGAGTGGGTTAAAATCCACCCAAGCCTAACTAGAGAAGAAAGCTACAGTTAGCACCAACACCTGCTGGATGAAACACTTGCTGGGTAATGCAGGTGTTGTGTAGGCTGACAGTGAGACAGATGTCCCCTGCTGCTTCTCCTGGATTATTTTCCAAGGCTCTTGCAAGTGCAGCCAAAATAAATCTAGTTACAAAGAAGGTGAGATGGTGTGGCTATATAAAGCTGTCAAGCAAAAGGTGTGCATTTTGTCTAATTACATCAGCACAGTGCTCTTAATCTCTGTTAATAATCCAGACGTCCATGGCTCTCAAAGTTGTGGTGATTTATTTTTTGAAGCCCTCTGTAATGGTATAAATTTTGTGGGTGTGTGCCTGTGTCTGCTGCAGAGCAAAGGAGTTGATGAGGAAGACCTTAGATATAAGGAAGAGCTAAAAAGTAAATAAAGTCTTTTCCATGTTTGAATCATGCAGTCATGAGCACTGGCAGAACAGCAGGATGGGGCAAACTGTTTGCAAGTATTTGGAGAAGAAAATAAGGATTGGAAGTGGGGATAAGGTTGTGACTCACACTTTTGTTTGCTACTGTCCACTATTGAAAAACTCTTTATTTAACTTAGACTTACCTGTCACCCATAGCACCAGAGGTCCATGGACTTTCCCAACAAATTCAGGGTTGTTTTAAGATGAGCAAGTGTAACACAACACTAGTTACTTATGTGAGACCTTGTAGTACACCTGATAGCTCAGCCACAGCACTAAACCCTCTCTGAATTTGTAGCCTTTAGTTCTCAACACGCCTCAGATTTGGCCACTTGCAGTAGGGCAGCTGCTTAGGACTTGGTGCCCAAATGCAGAGTGCCAGATGTCATCCCTGTCCCCCTGTCCAAGGTCTGAAAGCTGTTTTCAAGCCTGCCTTGGAGTGTAGTCTGGTTTAAGTGCTGCCACTTTGCTATGCTTTCAGCAGGTTATCTGATACATGGTTTAGATCATCATAAAATGTGGATAAATCTTTCTCTTCTCTGTTAATTTTTTTTCCCCCAAAATTATACAAACACTGCCAGATATAACTCACCCAGGTAACCTGCTGAATTAGACTACCTGGCTTTTTCAATTGCACAGTCAGTCTCCATAAAAGCAGAGTAAAAACCAGCGCCTTGCCTATCTGGGGCTTAAATGCTGTTGACGGTGGTATTTATGTTAACTGTGCACTTGATAAAATGTCTCTCATTGGTTTAAGTTTTTACTGTTTCTAAGGTTTTGGTTTTCATTGGTATGTGTGGAGTTATCACAAGGAATTTTTTTCACAGCCCAGCAGATCAGTAAGCATTTTCTCAGCAAGAGAGAAGGCAAAGAATACAGAAGTTATTCCTGAGTTAAAGTTTGCCAAATCTTACCTTCTTGCCCACAACTTCAGGTTCTCTCACACCCCTGCTGAAGAGCAGCTGTAATCATCTTTTTTTGTGCTCTGCAATTCCCAGTGCTGAAAGAGAATAATGATTTAAAAGGATTATTATTTTCAATGTATAATCCATTGGTATACCTTCATTAGGCAAAGGTCGCTGTCTCCTGCTGAAGTACTTGGAGGGCCATTTGTTGTGTAATTAATGTAAGCTGACTGAATTAATATGATCTCTCAGTATAGAAGCCTTTGGGTAGGGGGTGAGGATTTTCCTCTTTTTAATGAAGATTTTCCCACACACCTCCCATTGCTCTCCCTGCTTTGGTGAATGTGGCAGGGGAATACACTTTCTGCAGCAGGCCTAGTTCCCTACCTCTGTTGTTTCCCTTGGATTTTGAAGCCAGCTTGTGGATACAGCAGTCATCCCCCCCATCAGCTAAAGATGACAGAGAAGCAGTGTTAGAAGATGTTTTAAGTGTACGGCTCATGGGTGGGGCCCCAGAAAGGAACAGGAAGGGATGCAGTGTAATCCAAAGAGAGATGCCAAGAAGCAGAGCTGGTCCAAGTGGGATCAAGGACAGCTAAGGAGGATGAGAGATTCTGGAGGTAAAATTTTGTGGCAGAACTTGAAAAATAAAATGTGAAAGTACACCAATGTACTTCACTTGAAATATGCACTCACCCCATCTGAAATAATTTTTGAAGGGAACACACTGGAATTGGGAGAATACAGACACTGTGTTTAAAAGATTAAAGGGCAGATAGCCATAATTTGGTAGGAAGCATCTGGTGTCAGCACTGGCTGTGGCTTGAACCTCAAACAGGCACCTGGAAATTTTGGCATCTCGTTCATTCTGTGCCATTAATGGCCAAAGTTCTGCCTCCCCTTTTTTACTGTGGGTGTAGTTTTGTCTTTATTCTATTGTAAGGTAATGGTATGTTGATATTTATGCTAGTGTAGAGTCCTTCTAAAGCTTTTCCACAACTGCAAAAACTGAGGTATTTATTTGGCATAAAGAGAGATAGAAAATACCCATATTTTTAAGGCTCTAGAAGAAAACTTGGTATCCAGTCTTCCCCCAACTCTTTGCATGGCCTCAGTTAAATTTCTGGTTTCCTGAAGACGCAGCACCTAGAGATGGTAAGAGGGACATAAAAATGATCAAGGTAGGTAGAAAGGGAGGATATTGTCTAATAATATGGAAGAACATGTTAGGGCTTACAGGCCTTAGTAATTTGTTGTTAACACTGGTGCTGAAGGAACCAGCAGCAATGGCTGGAAGTGCTTCAGAGGTCTCTGGGCAGTCAGGGTCAGGTCAACCTCTTGCAAGAAAGAAGGCAAAAAGAGATTTTTTGCCCTTAGGCACAAGAATACAATTCCTGGTAACTTTTTCCTGAAAAGGAAAGGTTCTCCTCCATGTTCAGGGGGGTGGGGAAGGAGCTGCTGCAGGTGCCTCAGCTGCAGGCAGTGCTGCTCAGCAGCTTGGTTCTGTTCTTGTCCCCCAGCTTTCAAGGCAGCTGTCTTGATCCAGCAGTGGTATCGGCGCCACGTGGCTCGGCTGGAAATGCGCCGCCGCTGCACCTGGAGAATCTTTCAATCCATTGAGTATTCCTGCGAGCAGGATCAGATCAAGGTATGGGGCTGAGGATAAGAGCAGGTAGGAAAAACACATAGCAATGTGGTTTCTGTGCCAGACTCTGCCTTTTTGGGTGCTAGCTGGTCACCCTTTAAGTGCTCCAGTGGGCCAGGGACTGGGTTTCCTGCCCCTTTTTAACCTATTAATTCCCTGGCTGCTTGTGTTGCATAAAACAAAGTAATGAACCTCAAAAACAAGCCCCAAGAGCCATTTAACAGAGCTTTTCTGGAGTCTGAACACAACAGGCAAGTCTATTTGGTTTGTTATGTTTTAACTTTGATTAAAATTCTCTTAAATGGCTGCTTTGCAGGGAAAGGAAGGGCTCATAGCATACTTCTGCCTGTGGCTGAAGGTAAAGCCACTGTTTTGACTTCATCTCAAGAAAGTCAAAACTTAAATTGGTTCAATGAGAGTTGCTGTACATACCAGACAGCATGAGGAGGGCAGAGGTAAAACTTCCAGAAAGATGATGATGATAGGTTGCTACTCTGTTCAATTTCATTCCGGGGTGAATGATGGGCTCTCCATCTTCCTGCAGCTTCACAACTTCTTCAGTTACCTCATGGACCAGTTCACACCAAGCAGCAGCAAAGAGAGTAAGTTTGTGTGCTCGTTGTAGATGTGGCACCAGCAGCTCTGAAGGCTGAACCCTGTATAATTCATTGCCCAGTGCTGGGCAATCTTCAGGATGGCACATGTGGCCAAGTCCCAAGACTGACAGCATCAGGATTAGAGAGTGAATTGTTTGGAGACTATGAGCTGTGTAAGGGATGTGGGGCAATTCCTGCTCTTAGGAGCTGGAAGGAGGCATAAAGGTTTGGTATGTTGTCACAGAATGGCAGAATGGTGCACACTGCACAGTGACATTTGTCTCTGCAGCCTTTCCCCCACTGCAAGTTTTGTAGCAGTGCCAAGCAGTACCCAGCATCCATGGCTGCAATTGCTCCTGAGTGCCAGCCTAACTAAACAGCTCTTCTGTAACAAATTACTAGGATGGTACCTGGAGCCAATTATCTACTTTTTTGTCTGTTTCTGTTTTTTTTTAAATTTTTTAAATCAACCACACTAATCTGCTCTCCAGGGGATTTTATCAGTCGCATGTTTGTAAGTGGGGAAAGTTACAAAGAGGCAGAGCTGGAAAAATACTGTGACTATGAATCCATAGAGGTGCCAGACTCCTACACCGGACCCCATCTCTCTTTCCCACTCCTCCCTGACCATGCCACGGCCTTGCTGGAAGCTTTCCAACAGAAACAGGTAAGGATCCCAAAAAGGTACCATGCTCTCCCCTTCTCTGAACAGGGGTGTAGGATAGATAATTTGGTCTTAACTTTCTTACCAAGCTCAGTTGACTGGAGTATAACAAGCTGGCTGGCTGTCAAACAAAATGGGGTTGGAAACTATATGGTATTTCCTTATGCCATAGAAATGTTCTTCCTGAAAATATACTCCTGACAAAACGGAACACTTTACGTAGGGGTGTACCAATATTAACCTGAATTTCATTTTTAAAGGAAAAAATCAGCAACAGCTCATGTTGAGACTTTTCATCATTTTTTGTTCAAATTTCTTGATTTGTAAATAGGTACAGGATGGCCCAGAGGAAAACAGCGAATTACAGTGTTTTGTGCTATGCAACTTGGACCCCGGTTTAAAATGTAAATTGTGAGTTTTTTTGATAAGGAAGTTGAGTACCACTCCAGAACTAACAAGACAAGCCTTCATACAATTGCAGTGTTCTGCTGCCATCCCTCAGCTGATATGCTGAACTGCAAAATAGGTCAAAACATCCCTTCTCCAAAGAGAACTTCTAACCCAAAGGTGTCTCATGTCCTTGCTGTATTAAATGCCTACGCCCCGGCTTTGAGCATATCTATCACTGCAGGACACGCGGAAACTCACAGACTGATTCAATGTGGAAAAGCTAAGAAAGATCTAGAGGAGCAACTTTCTTACCTGTGATATTGGACTGGAATTTCTGCTGCTCCTGGAGGTGGTGTCGCCTAGTGGGTATAGCCTTGTCCACAAGGTGCTGGGGCTTTAGGGTTGCTTTGCCAGCCCTCTCAGTGCTGAGTCTGGGCTGCTTTGTGCAAGTGTCTGCCATCCTGCTGTTTCCCAATATTTCCCTCATCTTGTTTGTAAGCCCATAGGTCAGTACAGACTGCCATTCCAGGGAGAATTTCTGCCATCCAGGCTATCCTGGTGGAGTCTTGACAGCCACAGTGGTGCTGCTCAGAGGCCACTGATTTCCTGCTTTAATCCCTTTACTTTCTCCTAGTAGCAGCTCCATGCTCGCTATGTCTTAAACCTCCTGCATGAGACCAGGAAGCACCTCAAGCAGTTGCCAAACATCAGCCATGTCTCCACCTGCTACAGCGAGGAGATCACCGTGTGTGGTGGGTCCCTTGCAGCCTCCGGGGTGGAATGCTCCTGTAGGAGGGTGGGGCAGAGAGAGAGTGATACTGAGAGCACGATGCCCCTCTCTGTTCTGAATGTGGAACACAATGCTCTCTATAAGCAAAGTGTGTGATGCCTTGAGAGGCAGCTGGGTCTGTCTGAAATACCCAGGTGGTATTTTTTTGTCTCACCCCAAATTCAGAGTTGTTTTACTAAACCACAGAAATCACATCCAGCTGAGGACTAGTCACAAAACTTGGTAGTGATCTGACCTGTTCTGTGGTCTGGGATTATTTAAAAACAAAATCCTGGAGCCTTTCTGGGTGAGCACCAGCGTGTGCATGCAGATCCAGAATGTCAATGCATCTTTGCATGGTATAAGTAAACTTGAGACAAAGCTTTTTACTTTTTTCCTACTCTAATGTTAAAATGTTGAGATATTTCTGAAAAATACATAGTACAGACTTTTGCATGCAGCCAGCCTCTGGAAAACAAACCTCTCTCTCCAATATTATGTTAAATGACAATTAGATTGTAATTTTGAATGCTAAGCTTTCTCCCACATAATGACAATCTTGTGCCAGGATGTGCCATCACAAGAGATAAATGACCAAAGCTTCTAAATCAGTCTTCAGCAGATGGTGTAGGTTTTTTTAACTGACCTTCTCAGACTTCAGCTCAAGCCTTATCTTGTGTCCTTTTCCTCTAGGCTTGTGCTTCCCAAAGTATTTCTGTGCTGATTAATTTATAAAGGACCTAGCTCATAGCAAGTTAGGTGTTGGTGTTTTTTTTAAGTCCAAGGTAAACATAGTGTGACTCATCTCTTTGTGCTTTTCAGGAGACTTACACGGCCAGCTGGATGACCTGTTCCTCATCTTTTACAAGGTAGGCACCAAATTTGGAGAGGGAGGATGTCCAGGCATTGCAATGGGTATTCCATGGGTCATGTTGAGACATGTTTGCAAAATTGGGCCATTCATGTGCAATTCTCCAAGTCAATTGGATTGGTTTTAAATGGCTTCACAAATCAGTAGCTTATTCCCTTGCTGACTAGAAAATCTGATATCCATGTCCATTTTGTTAGTGCCAATGGGTGTTTTTCTAGTGCTGATAGCAATGACAACTCTTTGTGACTGCCAGTTTCACTGCTGGGGCCCACAGTATAAAGATGAGCAAGGGTCTGTTGTAACCTAGGACAGGAGTGAGAGGCTGCAGCTGGGGGGAGGGCATATGGACACCTTGGAGAAGCCTCTCTGGTGACATCCACCTGTTCCTTGCTTTTACAGAATGGCCTTCCTTCCCCTTCCAAGTCCTACGTGTTCAATGGGGACTTTGTAGACAGAGGCAAGCAGTCCCTTGAGATCCTTGTTATCCTCTTTACCTTCCTCCTGATCTATCCCAAGGAGGTTCATCTCAACCGCGGGAACCATGAGGACCACATGGTGAACTTACGGTACGGCTTCTGTGCAGGGCTGAGCGCCATGTCGAGGGCCTTGTGCAAAATCCCACTGAGCTTCCTTTCTCCTGTTCCTTTAGCTATGGTTTCACCAAGGAAGTGATGCAGAAATACAAGGTAGGCCTATGTTTGTGTCTTCTTTACCATGGGAGATATGCCTTTAGAAGACTGGATGCTTTATCTCTTTTTTCTTTCTCTCAGGTGCATGGGAAGAAAATCTTGAGGATGTTTCAGAATGTCTTCTGCTGGCTGCCCCTGGCCACCCTGATTGATCAGAAAGTCCTCATTATTCACGGGGGCATCTCTGACACCACTGACTTGGATATGCTTGAGAAAATTCAAAGGAACAGAGTAGGTTTTATTTCCCAGTTATTGCAAGAGACAACAGTGTTGCTGATTTGTGGTGAGAAGCTCATTTCTACATGCCATCTTAGCTGTTGACAAGACAAATCTAACAGATGGTCTTCCTAGACAAGCTTGTGTTTAGGTATAGGCTTTGGTTAGTGTGTGTCAGGAGCTGTGAAGCGATGGAGCACTGTTGGTTTCTGGAATATGTGCTGGTGGTGCTGAAGTAAAAATGCAGTGATGATGAGACATCGTCCCACAGTTCCTTAGCCTGCTTTTACCCCCTAGATTTCCAGAAGGAGTTTAATAAATCATTTAACTTGCCTCTGCCTCACTCACTCAGTTAGGAAATACCCCTTTCCTTCTCCAAATAAAATCGCAACTCTTGCATTAGTCATTCATGCTTCCTTTGCTCTACTGCATAGTTCCCATTCCAGATGAAATCTGTATGCAGGAAATCAATGAGGAAGAGCGAGATGAGATGGGTGTGAGGCCCAGCTGCAAACCCAGGATGGCTTGTCTAAGAGGATGGCACTAATAGTTCCCTATAGTCAAGGAGCAGTTGATGGAAAGAAGGGAGTGAGGCTTGGATCACTTGAAGTCTGCCAATGGAAGACATTAGAGCTGGAGGTCTGGGTTTCATGCTGTGTTATCAGCTCCATTTCTCTCATATCTTTCAGTTTGTTTCTGTGTTAAGGCTGAAGAAAAGGAAGGAATCGAGTGGAAAACCACAAATCCAGGCCATAAATGGGGAGAGCGAATCAGGCACTGATGCAGCTCCCAGGTTATCTCTGCAGCCCCAGACAGCCCAGGCTCCCAGCACAGCCAACAGGCGGGAGTTCTCCAGGTGGCTCCGGCAGACGGTGCAGGAACAAATCGACACGTGCCGCCGGCTGGTGGACATCAGTGAGTCAGAGCCAGAGGAGCTCACCTATTCCAGCATGGTCTCCTTGAAGGATGCGGATGAGCCGTGCTGGACTCTCCAGGAGGAGTGGAAGCAGGTGAGGAGTCTTAGCAGGGTCCTGAGCTGGATGTGCTGTGGGTGCCTCCTGCAGCAGTTGGTCATTCAGTGGTAGGTGGCCAGGAAGGGGTGCTCTGTGAGGCCATGGGGACGTTTCATTGGTACTTTTGTTACCTCCTAGGAGGAGCAGCTGGGGGCTTCCTTTCCTTGTTTTTCCAGCCTAGGAGTCTCTTCTGTGTACTCTGACACCACTGTTAGTTGGTTGATATTACATGTGACCTTCCAGTGCTGCACACCTTTTCACTGTAGCACTGTATACTGAAGTCAGGGTTAAAGGGATTAGGCCTTAATCCACAGAGTGGTTACTGAGTTAGCACTTGTATTTCTGGAGGCTATGGAAGGTCCTGGCTAGAGAACAAAGGCATTTTATACTAAGCCTACTAATCTGGATCTCAGGATCTGCTAGTTGTTCTTGCCCTGGGACTTGTGTTTTAGGATGGAGAAAGACAGGCAAGGCTCTTGGAATCTTAATGCTAGCAGAGGCAAAGCTTGTATCAGGCCTGACTAATGCACATCCCTCTTTCCCCAGACACTTTGGATGTGCCTGTAGCTCATGGCCAACAATATTGCCAGTTCTGAGGTGGCCCAAGTCTGTGACAGTCTTCAGCTGGAATGCAGGAAAAATGTCTGTTCCCTTGCACTCTGGTTATAGCAGCAGTGTAGGGAGAGATTCCGAGACTGAGCTGTATTTTCTTAGTGAACTTTGCCAATCCTTTCAGGTTTTAGACATCCTCTGGAGTGACCCCATGCCTCAGGAGGGCTGCAGAGAAAATAAGGTGCGAGGTGGTGGCTGCTACTTTGGGCCTGATGTGACGGAGAAGTTCCTTGAGAAGTACAGCTTGCAGTTCCTGATCCGCTCTCACGAGTGCAAGCAAGAGGGCTATGAGTTCTGTCACAGCCGCAAGGTCAGCTGGGGGTGGTGTGAAGGGCACTTGGGTTTCCATCCTGTCAGGATGGGGTTTCTGGGGGGGGGTGGCTGTCTCAGTTCTGCATTTCTTCCAGTGGGACTTTAAGCACATGCAAAATCCTTGAACAGGCTTATTTAACTGAAGTGCGGGGACACGGATGCACAGGCAAACTGTGTCCTTGTGTGTGGTGCTTGAGAAAATATCTGAACCCACTTGTGCTATGGCCCCTACTTAGTGCAGCTGCTCCTGCAGATGAGCTACAAAAGGGTGCTACTGAGCTGCTGCAGCCAAGTTCTGTTTTCAGAAGATGCTGTCAGATCAGTGGCTTCATCAGGGTACTTGGATTCTGGAGAGCAGAATTGTTGGGAGAGAGCACAGGAAAATTGTAGAAGCCCAACATGTGGCCAGATCCACATGTGACCACTGCCACCCACAAGGAACTCACACCTGCATGGCTTCCAGGCCAGCTGCCACCTGGCTCTCCCTCTTCTCCATATAAGATGGATGCTTTCACAGTCTGTGGACTCTGGAGGGGATTGGGTGTATTGTTCATATGTATATCAATATTACAGGATTAATGTACTGCCTGCAAATGCCCTTTTTTTTGGGATTAGGTGCTGACCATCTTTTCAGCCTCAAACTACTATGAGATTGGCAGCAACAGGGGAGCCTATGTGAAGCTGGGACCAGACCTCATCCCCCACTTTGTTCAGTATCAAGCAAACAAGACGGCCCATTTGCTCACTATGACCCAAAGGCAAGGCTTTCTAGTTGCTCTATTTGCCAAGTCAAAATTCCCTAAGGGAAAACTTTGTGAGCTTTTAGAAAGCTTGACTCTGGAGATGAACTTTCACAGCTTGATTTTTCTAAAGAATAGCTCTACAGGAGGGATTACGCTTTGTACTTGAAGTTACTGAGGAAAGCTCAAGGGTTGAGAAGGGATTATTAACAAAATTCCAAGGGGATTTTTCTAAAGCTTGCTGATATTTTTCAGCTTCTCTTTTCCATGTCAGGTGTTAACTTCTGATCTTTGCTGAAGCTCTCTTTTGGGTTGTTACTTCACAAATGAATGCAGGGACTTGTGGCACCAGCTGCAGGGAGCTGTGCCCTGGGCATGCAGTGCCTTGTCACAAGCACTGAGATGCAGCTGTAGCTGTGCAGAGCAGTCGGGTGGGCAATCCATGGACAAGCCAGGTAGAGCACTGGGAGGGAAGGTGCAGTTTTTCTTGTGATTCAGGGCAAGTCCTTCAAGTGCTTCTGTTCTGCATCCTCTAGAATCAGCAGAGTAGAGGAGTCAGCCTTTCGAGCCTTGCGGGAAAAGCTCTTTGCTCACACCTCAGCCCTCATCAGTGCCTTCAAGTCCTACGACAGGGACAATACAGGTAACCTAGAGCTGAGGGACGTGTGGGTTCATTGCCTGGTCAGATAGGGCTGAAGGGACTACGTTGAGTTTGTGGCTCGCTGGGAGACTGCTCAGTGACAGGTGTCACCAGCTGTCATGGGGAGGCTGTATCAGACCTTGCCAGAGGTCATTTGCTGTTACTGTCTCTGTGGATGCCTTGGAGTGACACCATAATGTGGGGATGCTGAAAAAGCAGGACGTCATTAGCCTGAGGTGCAGTAATTGAGGCTGGTCCTAGAAGAACTCCTTGCAGCTGAAGTACTGATGAAGCCTGGGGAAGATGACCTGGAACATGTCTGTTGTGTCAGTTGAGAAGGGCTGGGTGGTCTCTAGAGCCCCTTCATCCCTGAAGTCTAAAATCACTGGGAAGAGGAAAGCAAGGGATGTCTTCAATGGCAGTTATCTTTGTCAGAGCCTTAAGGAAGGAGCTGAGAGTTCTGACCTCTGTGGCAGACAGGAGTGCTATGTTGATGCAGTGACCAAGAGGTGCTGCTGAGAACTGTCTACTGGTGGGGCAGGGGAGAAAAGGGATATGGTGGCTGGCAGAACTGCTCATGGAGAGAACTGCTTTCTTGTTTTCTTCCCTGGCAGTAAAACTGTTCATAGGAATCCAGCTCGGATGTTACAGCTGCTGCTAAAATGGGAAGTGGGCTGAAAATTTCTAATGAAATACCCAAAGTTAGTGTCCGGCATTTGTTCAGATGCTTGCACCCTCATAAACCTTGATACGTTGCAATGACGAAAACCTTGCTGAGGCTTGGGTAGGAAGTGTATGTATGCCTGCACTGCGAAATAATGCTGTGCTGTCAGCAGCACCTAGAGTGTGTGTCACTGTTTTAGGCTTTGTCTTTGCCTTCACGTGCTTTCCGCTGCCTGTGTCCCAGAGGTGTCTCCCTTTTGTGTACAGGAAAGATCACTCTGAGCAACTGGGCAACAGCAGTGGAGTCAGTGCTGCGGCTGGGACTGCCCTGGCGAATGCTGAGGCCACAGCTGGTGCGCAGCGCCGAGGACGGCATGCTGGAGTACAAATCCTGGCTGGATGATCTGGCCATGGAGCAGAGGAGCCAAGAGGTAAGCACTCAGCCCCTTCCATCAAAGCATGATGTGAGCACCTCTCACCAGATCCCTGGCACGTACAAATCAATTCTAGTACAAAAGGACAGTGGATGCTTCCTGCATAACCTGAAATCACACTGAAGTTTATAGGAAGTTTTGCCTGAGCTCAAATAGTCCTGAGGCACCCAGCCCATTTTTAAAAAGAGATGACGGATGTGAAATCAAAATTTAGGGGTAGTTTGGATGCAGGCTGGTGAGTAGGAAAACTGTATTTCACTCTCCAAGTAGCAGTTTCTTAATTACAGCCAACAAATGCAGCTCTGCAGTGGTTATAAAATGCAGCCTGGGTCACTGTTAGCCCAGAAGAGCACCAATGGGAAGGGACAAGTTGCTGATGGTCTGTTCTGCAGCTGCACAGAGGGTCCAGTCATCACACACTTGGTTGATAAGGCACTGCTGGCAAGTTTTTGAGAGCAAAAAATATTCTTGCTTGTGGAGACATCTGCAGTAACAACTCAGAGAAAGGAGAGGTGTTGTCAGGATAAAAACTGTGATCATGTCTTTCAGCACATCCAGTCCAGCTTGCTGGAAGTCATTTATCGAAACAGATCCAACTTAGAGACCATATTCAGGATCATAGACAGAGACCATTCAGGTAAGCAGGTGTGCAGGGGCTGTTGATCACTGCCTTCTGTGATCCCTTCTGCTTTGGAGTTTGCTTTAGTATGTATAGAGGTGTTTTTATTTAGGCTTGGGTGGTCCTGCTCCCTCCCACACTTCTGCAATGCCCATTTGTATTATGCCTCTGCTGCTTTGAGCTGTGTCTTAGTCCGTGTTCTCCACATTAGGAGATGTAGCTGCAGCATGTAAAATGCTCCTCTGCAGGTCTCATCTCCTTTGAGGAATTCCAGCAAACCTGGAAGCTGTTCAGCTCCCACATGAACATTGAACTCACGGATGATGGCATTAACGACTTGGTTCGCAGCATTGACTTCAATAAGGATGGAAACATTGACTTCAATGAGTTCCTGGAAGCCTTCCGCCTGGTCAGACAGTGCCCGTCGTGAGAACCTGCCGGGAGCTGCCACGTCCCATGCCTTGATTTCTACAAAGCCAGGACTGTCCACTGTCCCACCTAACCTAGAGTGTGCCTGCAGATGGCAAGCAGGGAAAGGGGAGGCAGGTGCCCAAAACAGACATCACTGTAGGTGACAGCTGTGACCCATCTGGGGAGGCTAACAGGTGAAATAGATGGACTGCACTTCAATTCAGACTGCTTTTAAAAGAAGCTGTGTTTTAAATAGTTTCCTGCTCAAAGGGAAGATGCAACTTAGCTTCTCTTGTCAATGTGAGAGAATGTTACAGGCGTATTGAAGAGCAGTAAAGTGGAAGTCAATGTATTACTTGTAGGCAGTGTTTTAATGAGGTAGCACCTGTTTGATTGCAGCTTTCCTTTTAATAAACCATTTTTTCCAGACTGCTGTTGCTTGGCTGTTTATTTCTTCTCTAGTTAACTCTGTGAGCAGCAGTGCTGTTCCAGTGATGACACCTACTTCCCTGCTGGTGTTCCTCTGCTGTGGTAAGCTTGCTCTGGAAGTTTGGAGCTACTAAGTACACATAGTAGAGCAGAATGATGGAAAAATACCTCAAATGTGCAACACTGTCTCTAGCTGGGGGACTTGTTTAAAAAAATCTATTGAGATAATTTCATTTTCAAAGCCCAGGGCAGTAGATCAAGTAGCTCCCTGATAGGGAGCCTATGCTGCAGGTTTGTTATTTTCAAAGCATGGTAGGACTCCAGCTTGTGAATTGGGGTGGAATGTGAAGAGTTTGCAAAACAAGAAACAACGTGGTTGTCAAATACAAGCAGCACAGTCTGGCAGGAGCCCCATGGCAGAAGACTTAAGACTGCTACCCCAGCCTCCAAAAGAGAATTCTAGCCTCACTCAATTTCTTACAGAGCTCATTGCCCAGTGCAGACAGTTTATTAACTGGAACTATGCTTCCAAAAGGAAACTAATCCTGTTCCCCCTTATCTAGAGTTCCACATATGCTTTTTCAATTGCAATGGAATCATGCTTCCACAAACACTCTCAAATGCACAATAGGGGTCCCAGCACATTGCAGTTGTATTTCTATTTTTCCATACTTCAAATTTAATGAATGGAATTAATTTTGATGGCTAATGAACAAACTGATTTTGCCCCTTCCATGTTTTTTTCTGCTGTACAAACTCCTACTGCAGAACACTGTTTTTTGTTTCAGTTGTTTTTGGTGACTTTGGTACTGAGGGGAAAAGCAGGTCTCTCTCCATGGCATGGGGTGAGTAGGTACCTGCTCTGCAGCACTTGCTGCCAGGTAGGATCTAGGGGCCACACCTTTCATTTTGGTTTGGGGACTGAGGCTGCCAAGCAGCTCTGTGACACTGGGTTTGACAGCCTGCTACCTTGCAGTGCCTGGAGCAGAGTGAAGTGCACTTACCTGGAGCTGGGAGCAGCGTCGCTGCTTTGCTGATGTCACTGAGAGCCAACACCACACACCACTTATTACAAATTCAGACTGAATTTATTACTTTTGGGTGATTTTAAAAAAGGCAGAAGACAATGTCCAGACATACTGTTACTTAGAGGGGCAGCAAAGCTTTGTATAATTCATATATGTAAAGTGATCAAAACATAACCTTCAGATCCTTGCACTCCAAAGGAAGAACAGAAACTGGAAACATGAACTTTCTGCAGCTTGCCCCAGTAATTGACTGGTATTGCAGAGAACAACATAGTTACAGCAACAAACATCTGTGTAATGATTTAAGTTAGCTGTTTACACAATGGTGCTACTTGATTGTTCTGACAGAAACATGGAAGCAGGCTAAGCTTTCCACAAACTGAGTCATTAGTGAAATAATCCCCTCAGCACTGCATTTTTTAGGACAATGCCGTTGTAAAAAAAGAAGAAAAAAGAAAAAAATGTACAATAGTACATATAGTTTTGTAGTAAAATGGTATCTGAACAGATTCAGTTTTCCTTCTTTTGTTAAAGCATATACAGCTTTATAAAATATAAACCTTCCAAAGGTCAATTTTAAAAGCTTAGAAGAGGCTTTGCTAATTCTAAAAGTAACAGACAAAATACCATTTTGCTCCTACAAGATACATGTTTTATTTTACCTCAACAGTTTTAGCCTTGGAAGGTGAGCCATGAACTCCACTACCATGTTCTGTGTAAACCTCCACCAGTCAACTGAAGACTCCCCCTCGGATGGGAATGCTCTCGTTCAGCCCGTGTTCTATTAGCTTGATGTCCTCCAAATCATCTTTGATGATGCTGATTAGGTGACTCAGCCCTTCTTGCTGCTGCTTCAGGTGCTGCAGATAGTTCAGAAACCAGAGTGAGTACTGTTCAACTTCACAAACTTACTAGGTAATATTTCTCAGAAGTGTCATGACTGGTGGCATTGGCACATTGATAATCCTGGCATCATTTCTCTGAGGAAGGAATAACAGCATTTTCTGTACTAACAGCCTATCTCCACAGAGTGGTTTTGTACAATAGCTTGGTGCCCCAGTACTGAGACCAATTACAAGGATGACTTGATCAAACAAGGCAACATGACAATCTAGATCCAGTCAGTGTGTGTCTGGCTTAAATGATCAAGCTCAAAGAGTAGGCCAGGGTTCTACCCAGTAACACTCACTTGCTTGATTTCCCTTAAGAGGTCTGCATCTATGTAATAGCGCTCTTCAGCCCGCACTGCTCCAAAGTGGTTCTGCATCCTGATCTGGGACATGAGCTCATTCAGTCTGCCCTGGGAAGAGAAACAGGCTTAAATCAAACACAACTCATTTTCAGCTGTCACAGCTCCAGCATCTACCATTCCTTGAGTCTCCAGGGCTGGAAGCATTGCTGCTCATAAAATTTTCAGATGTTCTGGAAGACATGCAAAGGGTAAGTGACTCCATGATTTCCAAGAACTCAAAACTACTGAAATACCTATTGGCTATAAGCAAAGAGCACAATGCTACAACCTATCACACTGAGATTGAAAGCCTTCCACAACTAATATACACATGTGGTTTGGAAAACTGACATGTTTTCAGTGAGGAAGCTCCAGAGGTGTTAGCCAAATGCTGTCAGCCACTCACCTTGAACTGTGTGGGTGCGTTAAGTTCACACTGAATTGTATCCAACTGTACACGAAGCTGCTCCTCATCTGCTTGAATGGCATAACCACTTTTCCTTTGGATCTCCTGCTTTATTAGCACCTACAAAAGAAGCCTTTGACGTTCATTAGAGAACACTTGGCCCATCCTTCTCCCCACCAGCCCATCTCTACATCTTTTTGTCCTTCCTCCAGCCTGTTTCTCACTGGATTTGTTGTGTCATTTAGTCTGCTGTTTTAAGACCTCAGGGCAGTCCTGTGGTTTTGGGTAGGTGAGAGAGAAGGTTCCCAAGTGCAGCAGACCTGAGCTTTCCCTGACAGCTCTGCCTGGTACTTAAATGAACACCGGTTAGCTGAGGTCAGAATAATTTTCAGCACTGGCCTGCACAAGATGGAACAGGTTCTTCTTCCCTCTGAGACTGCTTGGCACTAGAGTGTGTCAAAGGACTTATTTAGATTATCTCTGTTACCTGCAAAGTTCTGTGTGAAAGTGCCATCAGTTTCCTTTTGTATTGTGCAATTTTTGCCATAGTTGTCGTTTGGTTTTTCTGCAGCTCACTGATATCTTCTGATATTATCTGCGGAGGAGATGGGAGTTAACTGGAAGCCAGAGAAGTTTTTGATAGTAGAACAAGGTAGGCCTGATTTAAAACTGGAAGCTTCATGACACTACACCACTCAGCAACTTGGTGTCCTTGACCCAGATGATTTTAGAAAGCTTTCTTCTACGTCTACTGTTCTGCTTTGTATTTATTTTCATACACAACTGGGATTTTCAGAAGGTACTGGAAAATTGGTTGCCCAAAGTTAAAAGTTTGTGCCAATGGACTTAATGGAGCGGGTGTGGATTAGCCTGTAACAAAACAGTAAGCTGGAACCTGAAACAAATGAAAGCCAAACCACTCTGCTCAGTTTTTGGGCAAAGATCTATTTAAGGGATATATTAAGACAATGGTTCATGTTTCCATTTTGAACACACAGGGCCAGGTGCATTTAATAGCGCATCCTTTGTCAACAGCAAGTCATGATAAAGATGAGCAACCTTACATCTAATCGAGTTTGATGCTGTTTGGTCATCTGATCCTGGACCTTCAATCTTCTCAGCAGTTCCTTAAAACCCACCATTGGCACAGGAATAAGCCTAGGAGAACACAAATATTTCTTACAACGTGTTTCTATACTGGACACATCAAACCTGGTAAGGGTTAATAATTATGAAACAGAATCTAATATTAAGTCACAGATTATGTTGATCTTTTATAAATTAATACATAACCATATCTTCTTTTGCTTAGTTTTAGAGTCCTAACTATTCCCCATAACCTGTTCCTTTTTCATAAAGAAACCAGCCCAATTTATCTGTAACCACTGGAGGGCACAAAGGTGCAGCACCTTCAGCAGGAAAGAGAAAAAACCATAAGGGTTGCAAAAAATAAGTCACTATAACTAATCCATGTAATGGAGGACACCACTCCTCCAAGGAACCCAAGTAAGACTCTTTATCCTGACAGCTCCTAAGCGCCTAACGGGTAAAGAGATTAAGACAGGCACCTCCAGTAATCTTCACTGCTTTCAAGGGGATCAGCACTTGGCCAAGTTGTACTCAAGTAACTTTTTCACAAGTTATCTGAAGGGTACTATGCAATTATTATCTCTTTCTCCCCTGTCCAAGCCTTGTTGCAATATTTCAACACTTGGACATACTATTTGACTTACTTATCAGGATCGGGATTATCAACTTTGGCTTGTTCCCATATAATAGGATCAACACCTAAAAAAGAAGAAAAAAGGATTTTTAGTAGGGCTATCTGAGAGATAGTAGAGCTGCTAACCAGGAAAAAAACGCTGTGCAATACACAAACCCTATGAACTATGCTAACCCAAATGCCTGTTGCACAAATTAAGGTTAATTAAACTAGGGTAGTTCTTTAAAACTCCTGGTCCTGAGCAGGGACAGTAAATTCAGACCCAAAGGCTGTCAAGCAGTGGTTTGAAAGCAAGGGAAAGGAATA